ATGAAATGAATAGGCAGGAGGTTTAAAATAAACTAAAGGAAGTTTTTCTTCACACAGCGCACAGCCAACCTGTGGAACTCCTCGCCAGAGGAGTGAAGACCAGGACTTTAACAGGGTTCAAAAAAGAACTAGATAAATACATGGAGGACAGGTCCATCAATGGCCATTAGCCAGGATGGCCAAGAATAGTGCCCCTAGCCTCTGTTAAAAGCTGGAAATGGGTGACGGGAGGGATCAGTGGCTGATTCCCTGTTCTGTTCACTCCCTCTGGCATTGGCCACTGTTGGCAGAGAGACACTGGGCTAGATGGACCTTTGGTCTGACCCAGTGGGACAGTTCTTATGGTCTTATTCTGATCATTTGGTCTGACCTGCTATGTAGCACAGGCCTGAGAGCTGCTCCCAAGAATTCCTAGAGCAGATCTGTTAGAAGAACATCCAGTCATGATTTGAAAATGCTTCCACCATGGTCACTGGGCCTCAGCCACCATCTCAGCACCCTATGGAAATCATAAGAACGGCCAGACGGGCTCAGACCAAAGGTCCATCCAGTCCAGTGTCTGTCTGCCGACCGTGGCCAGCGCCAGGTGCCCCAGAGGGAGGGAACATGACAGGGAATCCTCACGTGATCCCTCCCCTGTCACCCACCTCCAGACAAACAGAGGCCAGGGACACCATTACTACCCTTCCTGGCTAACAGCCATTGATGGACCCAACCTCCATGAATCTATCTAGCTCTCTCTTTTTTGAACCCTGTTAAAGTTCTAGCCTTCACCACATCCTCTGGCAAGGAGTTCCACAGGTTGACTGTGTGCTGAGTGAAGAAAAACTTATTTTAGTTTCTTTTAAACCAGCTGCCTGTTAATTTCATGTGGTGACCCCTAGTTCTTATATTGTGGGAATAAGTAAATACCTTTTCCTTATTCACTTTTCAACACCAGTCATGATTTTATAGACCTCTATCATGTCCCCCCGTATTCTCCAGCGGGGGCTTTTGTACATTTCAAAGGATGAATGTGGAAGTGCCTATGGACTAGTAGATGGAAATTCCATCGACTAGTTCAGTGGTTCTCACCGTGTGCCATATGGCTCCCCAGGGGGCCATGCCTTACTTCTAGGGGGCCACAGTAAATTTCTGAGGGGGCCACCCCAAACTTAACTGCCAGGAGTATGATGAATGAGGCTCAGAAGGGGGCCATGAGCAAAAAACGGTTGAGAAACACTGGACTAGTTGACTAGTCAGTAAACTGCATTTTAACCTCTTGCATCTGGCTGGGTATTGGTGTGGATGAGCCGCTGTCCATGGGCATCTTTTATACTCTTAGGAGATGAAGCTCTGGGAAGGGCCATTTAGCCCTCAAACGATCAGGTTTGCGGTGGCTCATGTCCCTGGAGTCACTTGTTCAAATCCCAACATCCCCAGAGCTACAATAAATCAGTAGAACTCTGGGCACTGTATTGCGTGTGGCGCTTTGGGTAAGATCTTAACAACGCTGGTCTTCTGTGCTCTGTGTGGTTACTAGAGATCCAGAGGGGTACCTATCTGGAGAGTGGGGGACCATTTGGCTGGCAGTGTCCCTTTCTTCAGCTCTTGTGCAGTACACTGGGGGCTAGGGATGTAAGCGACTAGTCGACTGTCCGATGAGCATATGCTTAATGGGTAGTTGAGTAGTGACTTGACTAGTCGCTTCCCCCTCCCCCCCCCCCCCCGTCCGAGAGAGGGAGGGAGGGGGGGGGGGGG